CAGAGCTCTCGGCAGCATTTGAGGCAACTTCTGGGTGACCTCAAAATATAGATCCTGTTCAAACAGGATAGCTTGACGCTTGAACTCGTACTGTCCAAATCTGCCATCGAACTTGACGATTTTTACGAAAGGAATTATACGTGAAATTAAACGCTGTTCCGCTTGCGTCAGATCTTCGATTACTAGTGGAATCGGTTCATAATTTAGTAATTGTTAGGTTAACCCACCTTGACCCAGAGAAACCCTTCGTGCCTTTACTTCCTCGGAGACGACCTTTGCACATCCGTCATCGCCTACCTGGTGGTCCGTGTCACAAAATGACAACGGATTATTGTATTGTCATCCAATACCAAGGTCTATACCAATTTTCAGAATTTTTCATCGTTAAAAAGTGCCTCAAATCGAGGGCGTAAGATTTGATTACAGACAAACAGACGTGAAAGAGACCTTAAGAAAAGTGTGTAAAAACCGAAAATCTTATAAATTTGTAACTACAAAATAGTTCACAATTTTTGCTACTTGAGCGATTTTTACCAAATTTTTTTGCTTTAAATTGCTTAAAAAAATAACCATGCATATGTATCATTGTTATTTCTTAACTTAATATAACATCTTGTGAGGAGCAACATTTATGACCTTTCTATTAAACTGTATCAAAGTTTTTGACCCAACAAAAATATTTTATTAACATTTATGGAAAAAAACTAAAAACGATTAAAATTATCATTGTTTGTGATTCAAATTTCGTGATTTTGACGAATTTTTTTCAAAATTTAAGCTTCAGACGCTCATAAAAACTGTTTGTGAATTTATCATATATCTTATACTTATCCGTAATCGCWTGAACTTTTTCAATAATGCATGATATAATATAAAATCATAAATTTATGATTATTCCGTTTTTGTTATTGTTGATGGATTTAGTAAAATCAGTAGAAGTGTTAAATAGTAAAATTTAAAATATAAAATGATCATACAATCCCATAGTTCTTGTACACACGTGCGTTATAGGTATAGGTATGCGTGGCCGCTGAAACTAAGTAGTAGGTATATGTACCGTATATTAATATATTATATTAAGCCATAAAACATTTATACAATTTGTACTCAACCTTTTTTTTTTTTAATTTTTATTATTAAAAACTTATGAGGAACCTTTTACCTATTAACTACATCTAATATTTCAATCGAACAAAAATTTTTCATCTACAATAATAAAAAAATTTAAAAAAACAAATAACTCAAAAAGAGTCAAAATATTTTGAAAATTAAATGTTGTATATACAATACAACATTATGATATATAAAATATCTGGGGAAAATTTAAAGTATCTACAGTAAAGTATATGGTATTGTAACATTGTATTTATGTGTTAAATAATTATTTACAGATTATTTTTAGTTGCATCGTTTGCGTTGAGTTTGTAATTTACACTTATGCCTATAGGTTATTATATTTTATTTGAGAACACATGGTTTCTAGAACGAAATTTTGTTCATAACCTTGTTTTGACCATAAATAATTGTTATACAGTTGTAATTCTTTGCATTCTTATAAAATAGTTATAAAATATTTATAAAATAATTTGGAATTCAACAATTGTAGAAATGATTGTACAAATAATGCTTTTTTTGTGTGTCAAGATATGTCCAAATTTTGTTCTATGTAGGTATAAAGAATAGTACCTAAAAAAATTCTTCGATTTTCAACTTGGGAGTGGTTTCTGATAGGGAATATACTTTTTAGTAAATTTTTTAAAATACTTGGGGAAAAAATTAGGGAAAAACGGGAACTTTTACGCGGAAATATAATTAAGTTAAGTCAAAATAAGAAAATAATTGTTTTAATGGTATAATTAAAAAACAAACAATCACAGATACTTTTATTTTTTGCCAAATATTTATATTATTTTTTTCTGTACGAGATAAATTGATATTGTATATTTATAGGTTATGTAGGAGCCAAAAACAATTTAATCAATTTTGTGAAAATTTCAAAACTTTCTTGAAAGTATCAGAAAATGTAAAGAGTAGGTAGCTTAAACCACGTTTAGTTTTGTATCAATAAGAGCTATCTAACTTTCCTAAAAATAACCAAACTTTATAACCTCATATAAT